ATCTAGCCTAATAATTGAGATTCATTACAACAGTTAGGATGTTCATTCTTAGGGTAATGAAACACCTTTAGTAACATGCATATGAAATGTGCTCATTATATGTCTTATTTTCATCTTTTTTTATGCTTATTTTAGGTTTTAGACTTGTGTTGAAGGACTCGGGAAATGAGGCTCATTGAAGCTCGAAATAAATAAAAAATGTAATTAGGTGTTGGAGTGGCACCTAGGCTCCCGGACTAGGTGTCTAGACTCCCAAGGATGATTGATTTCAACAAATTTAATCCTCAGATAGAGCACATGGAAAAGTGGGCTCCGGGATCTCAGAAAATAGGTGCTAGTGGAGAAGCGCCTTGGAGCCAAAATCGAGCACCTAGGCGCCCGAACAAGGCAATGATTGCCCAGAAAACAGAGCGACAAAAAGTAAGCCCAACGATAGTGGCGCCTACGCGCCAGAACCTGGTTGCCTAAGAGTTGTCTTTGGGAATCTAGGCGTCAGTTGCCACACAGGTTTCTTCCAGAGTATAGAGCGCACAAAAAGTATGCACCGCAACTACAAACGAGTAAGTGCTGGATCTAGAGCGTTTAATTAGGTGTCACATAAGGGTGCCTAGGTGCTCAAAGCCCTAAACACTGAGTTTGTTCCTGTCTCTTAGGTGTCACACACCACCCCTTAGGTGCTAACTAACACGATTTGATGGTTTCTACAGTTAGGACATGAGTCTTCGTCAGAAGAAGTATATAAAGGCTTCATACCAATGAATATAACAGTGATTTTTTTATGATGTTAAAGTTTGGAATATGTACATATAAATATAAAAATTTAGGAGTTAGATACATGTATATATATAAACTTGTGTGGCATCTATATAAAAATCCCAAACATTAATCTAAATCGCTAACCTTTTGATCAGAAATGTACTAACTGGAAACTTTCAAGGCCAAATTATTAAAAAAAAAAAAAAAAAAAAAAAAAAGTTAAATTTGCTTATTACCAATTCCACCCCCCACAACTCATGCAAATCCACCAACACCACTTTCTCATCAACTAAGCAGCCATCATCCCATCACAAGCACTGCTAAAACTACTAGTTAAATTAGCTTATTACCAATTCCACCCTCCACAACTCATGCAAATCCACCAACACCACATTCTCATCAACTAAGCGGCCATCATCCCATCACAAGCACTGCTAAAACTACTACAGCTATTACAAATCATCTCCACCAAATCCATCTCCTTCTTCACCTTCTCATCACTGCTCGTCGACAAGCTGCACTCCTCCAACCGATCCCTCATCACATTACTGCTGCTTAAACTGCTCCCTCCTCCGCACCCCAGTGGGTCGAGGAAGAAGTCCATGGCACACACATCCTCCATTAAATCCATCTCCTTTCTGTCGAGCAACATTAGTTCTTGGGCCACGTCGCTGAAATCGTGATATTCCCATGATGATGATGATATTGAATTCAGTGGGGGAGCGGGTTCTGCAGTAGAAGCAGAGCTCTGATTATTAGTGCGGGGTGGCGGTGCGGGGGATGGATTTGGGAGGGATAGGCTCTTGATGTAGTCTTGAAGGAGCGAGCCCGCGCTGGACTTGGGATGCTTCGTGCTGCGGGAGCGCCTGCGTGCAATGAGTTGAGAATAATATTGTAGCGGAGAAAATTTGGATGCATGTAGAAATTATCAACAGTTTATTTTTTTATTATTTTGAAATTATGGAATTCATTTTGAGATGAATGTGGTGATATATCTTTTTAGTTTATATTTGTTTTAAAATAAATCTAATATTTTTAAGATTCACATTTATCAAAAATTACTTGAGATATATTGGCTCCAAAATATTTTTAAGTGATAAATTAAGAGTTATTTTCAAATTGGATCGAGTTATTTGCATGTCATATTGAAAAGATATTCTATTTGGACGTCCAGACAGTCAATTACCGAGCGCTACATCACTATCGATGAGATTTATGACGATGTGACTCCCAGTGATTGGTTGTCTTGACGTGTGGTGTTCGATGTCCGGTGTAAATATTAGGTGCTCTTGCATCTATAGAAAGAATAAAAGGAGAGAGGTAGGGAGAGAGAGTGGGCAGACATCCTTGCTCTCTTGTCTCTTCCTGTCTTTCTATATATATAAATGTATATTAACATTATCTGAATAAAATAAACGAAGTTATATGGACATCACTTTTATAAAATTAAAATTTAATTAATTGCATTTCAATTTATGAAGTTATTTTTATCAAGTGGATTTACATGCATACCACCCAATTCTTATCTCTATTTACATTGAGACACCCCAATTTTACTTTTTGCATTTTTAACACCCAATTCTTTCATTTCACATAAAATATGAGACTATTTTAACACGTAAAATATATATTTCCACGCATAAATAGAATAACATATATATTATAACTTAGTTGCTTATATATATATATATA